TTTTCATTCAGATTTATGGAGAAAGTTCTTCCTGTGCTGGGAGAGCTCTCAGGAATATTTTTACTCTACAAGCGTCTGACCTGATTAAAGACAGGGTGTACCTTACTGGCATTTGCAGGTAACCTGAGATCATTCGTTTTAATCAACTAGATGGGTTTTCTTTACATTTGTCTGTGCCCTGATTTGACAAGAGAGTAAATTCTGAGAGTGAGATTTTGTGTGTGTTACTAAGAATCAAAAATATTTTCTAAAAAAAGTCTTTAAAATCTCATGTATTTTAATATCTTGTTACTTTGTCAGTTGTCAGAAAGCAGCAGTGGCCTGATTGTATGGCCATTAATTTAATTGGTTATGATTTCATATACCATTGTGTTTGTCTGTTATTTTGTTGAAAAGAAAGAGTATTAAATTCAGCCCTGGTCTGAAATTATAAAAGTTATAAAAGAGATTAATTGGATTCCTAAGATTTAGTTACACAGTGAGTTTTGCATGTAATTTATGGAGTATTTGTGATTTTCCAGTTGCGTTGCGTAACAGCATAAAAGCTTCCTCCTGTTTTCAATTATGTCAAAATGTGCAGGTCTCTATTATAGCACCATTCATTCTTATCCATATTTAAGAAAAAGTCACAACTTCTTTTTTTTTTTATGATTAAAAAAGATAAATTTACCAATAACATGAAAGATAAAGTACATCCTAGAGCAACATTTGAAGTCTTACACATATATTGTGCAGCTGTATTGCTGTGCCTGTGCTCAGAATGGAAATAAAATCCTGAGGCTAAATGCTGGATTTTATTTATCTCTTATACATCTTTGGATGACTGTTTGTATGCAGTACAAATATATGACAAAAATATTACATATTGTAAAGTGTGCCACATGAATTAAGTGTGTAAGGGAACTTACTCATCTAACACGAGTTCCCTTGTTGTAACAAGGGGAATCTCCTGAGACTTGCCAGAATAATCTCTTCCCTTGAAATGAATAGGATTACAAAACATAGTAATTGAGACAAAGGG